CCGCCTATTCCAGCAAATCTTCGTGAATTAGGTGATGTCTTTGAAAACGGATTGTTGAATAGATACTCTTGCTGCCGTGAACGTATCATGTACAAGACTTGCCTTAGAGATTCAAATGGGTTTTATTCTGTAGTGTTTGCTTGTAATGAGTTATTGGATGAAGTTATTCGTTATGGTGTAACCGAATTACATGCCGATGGTACGTTCAAAGTAGTTCCTTCCAATTTAGGAGCAAAGCAACTACTAGTCATCCATTGCATGATCCAAAATCACGTAAGCAAATTAATTTGTATCATTAGTATTTTTAGTATAATGTAATTAGCATTATTCAAATAAGTCCCTAATTTGTACAAAGCGAACTCAATTTTATATGAGAGTGAAACAAATTACATTTTTTGTAGGTATTACATTTTAACTTAAAAATCATTTAAATTTAAAGCCAGATTGATTATAAAGTTATCAATGTTTTTAGATAACCAATTAATTATTAGGTATAGCATATTATTTTTAGATTCTGAGTGAAACGATGAATGTATTGATTTTACAATGATGTGTGTTTTTTTATTTTTTTTTTTATTTTTTTTTTTATTTTTTTTTTTATTTTTTTTTTTATTTTTGTGTCTGTCATCACGTTTTAGGACAGTAAAAGTGCTTGGATTTTCTTCATCAGTAGCTTTTCTGATAGGAAAGTGAATCTAGTTGGTACTTTGGGGGGTCAAAAGTATAAATTTCCCAGTAGTTTTCACAAGCGCCGGGAAAAACAACATAAAAATTAAGGAAAAACGGGAATTTTTACGCAAAATTGGTTTTCCAAAAAATCGATTTTGGTTTTTGGTGTAACTCTGAAACAAATGAACGTATATACATGAAATTTTCACTGGTTGTTTATATTTGCATTTTCTATACACGATAACATTTTCAAAATATTTTGATTTATTTTGAACTGTTTAGGGACATTTTCATTTTCCATTTTTTTTAGTTTTTTTTCTAAAAATATCAATAAAATTTTATTTGTTGGTTGCGAAAGCTTGAAAATTTAATAGAAGGCTCCTAATATATTGCTTCAAAGGCAGATGAAAAATATTAAAAATCGTTAGTCACAATTTTTTTTATAAGCATTTAAAGTTCAAAAATTGACAAAATATGGAAAAATCACGAAAATTAGCAAATTATTTTGAGTTAAGAATTCGTAAAAATTTTTCTTTTTAAATCTAAGATTTGAAAATGAAACACAAGATTCCTTATAAGATTATCTACCTTTATCAATAAAAAAATCTCTACCGGAAAGTCAAATTAAATTTTTATGAGCGTTTTAAATTCAAATTTTTACAACATTGGATTTTCACTCGATTTCTCATGTAGCGATTTCCTTATTTTGTTGTAATTCAAAAACGAATTATTGTAGATACATGAAAATTTCACTGAATGTTTATATTAGCATTTCCTATACACCATACAATTTTGAAAATATTTTGACTCTTTTTGAGCTGTTTACGGACATTTTCAGTTTTCAATTTTTTTAGTTTTTTTTTTTTATAATTGTCAATAAAATTTTATTTGGTGGGCCAAAAAGTCTGAAAATTTAATACAAGCTTTCTTATATATTGTTACAATATCAGTTGAAAAATTTTAAAAATACATAGGCACGATTTTTTTTTATAAGCATTTAAAGTTGGAATTTTGACAAAATTTATCAAAATCTCGAAAATTATCAATCGTTGGAATTAAAAAATTATAAAATGTTCAGTTTTTATAACTAAGAGTTGAAAATTTAAAACAAAGATTCTCTTAAATAATTCATACTGTAACCAAAAAATCTAAAAAATATATAAACACACTTATTTTGTACAGACATTTTAATTTCAAATTTAGACAAAATTTCATATTTAAACCAAGAATTACGATTTTAGTTATTTTGTTGTGATTGTATAATATTATTCGTGGGTACTTGAAATTTCTAAAGTAATCTACTATATATATCTATGATAGTATCAGGGTTTGTTGTTGGTGTATAACGCGTACCTAATGGATATTGTGATATGATTAATTTGGAATTCATTATAGGTCAATTTTTTTTAATACCATAGATATGTATATAATATGTCTTATACCTAGAAGGACATACCGTCTCCGCTCAGAATCGTTTTTCTTATACAATGATATTATATCATTGAATTCAAATTTAATACCATCCATTATACAATGACCCACTTGTAACCTACTGTACAGCAGAGCGACACCCACTTGCCCACCTTTTTTGTGAATGAAATTTTCAATTTATTTTACAATATTCTTTAATCGTTTTTTGGCTAAAGTGTGTATCTTTTTTCAAATGAGGTAAATTGAGCTCACTCAGAATTGTTATTTTCAAAAGCAAATTACAATATTGCTCACAAATATCATGTACAAGTTTTAACTAAACCTTCTAAAACAGTGACCTACTCCAAAGCGAAGTTGCTACCAAGTCCTTATTAAGGGGAGGGCATGATCCCGATACCCATAGATTTAAGGGCTCTAATCCTTTTAGTAATATATACTAAGTATACATAGAATTTGGAAAAAATAAAATAAAAATGTTTACCTACATGTTATATCAAGAAAAATTATTAAATTTTAATTTTTCTCATAACAATGTGATAAAATTGGAAAATTGTTGAAAATAGAAGTATTACACTAGGTATATTATTTGTGGTAATACTTCAAATTAGATGTCTTCACTTATTTGCATGTAATTTTATTTATATTTTAATATTTACTATACTTAATCTGTTATGTTATTATTAAAAATAAAACATGCATGTAGTATGTAAATATTACAGATATATTTTATTTGTCTTCTTTGTTATTTTATTTTTAAATGGTACACAAATATATTTAATTGTTAAAAAGTAGTAGGTACATAAAAAGAAAAAAATTATAAGTGAGAATAAAGGTTGAAGTTTCAAAGTTTAGAGGGGCCCACTAAGTGTTTAATGTCCAGAGGCCTAATAGATCTTTAATCCGGCTTGAACTGCTACCCCATTTAAATTTCCACACAACCTTAATATTTCCAGCTTTTTAAAATTGTCAGTTAATAGCTAATGTTTAATATTACCTTAAGTTCGCAGGTTAAAGATACTGTAAACCTAATCTAGACATTTTTTAAACTTTAATACATAATTTGTAGTTTGAATTTTAATTATTAAATTAATGTACCTAACTTATGTTTAAATAATTACTTTGTTTTAGTCTATTCCTATATTATTTGCACTCATGCAAAAAAAATCGAAAATTGCATACAATGTTATCGTTGAATATTTACGGTCATTAGCTCCAACATTAAGGCCAACTAATATAATGACTGATTTCGAACCAGCCTTACGTGATTCTTTATTGGAAAATTTTCCGGAGGCTGTTGCACATGGTTGCTAGTTTCATCATAATCAGGTTAGTTGATTTTAAGTATTATTTTTTTATTATTTTAATCATATATTATATATTGTTAAATTATTTATGATATAATTATTATAAAATATATGATATTCAATGAAAGCTTTAAAAAGTTTTGAATAATATTAAGAATAGAGAATGTTTTTTTTATGTTTCTAGGCAGTATGGAAAAATGTTGTGAAGCTAGATTTTTTGCATTTGGTTAATACAAATGATATAGCTCTAAAATTTATTAGAATGCTGATGTCACTTCCTTTATTGCCTGCTATGTCGATGCGACTAGGTTTTGATGAATTGCGTCTTTACTCCAGAAGAAATAATGTCAATTTGGAATCCCTTTTTTCTTATTATGAAAGGTACATTACTATTTGAGGTTCAATTATTTTAACTTATTTATACATTTGTACGTGTGTATTTATATTCATTATTTTAATATTTTAATATTTTACATTTATAGGTTCTGGTTAGATAGAATGGGAACACAATTCGTTTCTGTGTATAATTGTCCTCGGCGAACAAACAACAATGTAGAATCATTTCACAACAAACTGCGTCTTAAATTTTGTTCTGCCCATCCAAACTTATGGATTTTTATTGGTAATTACTAGATAATTAATAGGTGAATTACCAAATATGTGTTAAAATTAGATATACCTACATTTAATGTTCAAAATATTTTTTCAACAGAAAAGTTATGCGATATTAGTAAAGAGTACCATGTTATGATTGGTCAAATAAATAATGGAAGGAGACCTACACACTCTTTAAGTAACCAGTTTTTGGCCAATGGAAGGCAAATACGCGATGCCACAGCAGAGTATGACTTACTGCTGATAACTCATATGGACTTTTTGCATAGAGTATCATATTCAGTTGGTTCTTATGTAAATCGCCAAAGAAATTGGGTGACTAATATTGAAAATCAAAACCCTCAAGAAAATATTAATGTAAGGGACATAGATAACAACTTGCCTGTACTTGTTGAAAATCGTAAGTGTTACTGAAGTAATAACATACTGTATAGACAATTTTATAATACATGCATTTTTTAGGTGTGTTTGAAGTTGAAAATATTGGTAATGCTGAGGACAATCAACTTCCTCGACAAAACCCTCATTTTGAACATAGAGAAAATGACAGTGGTAAGCTGAATAGTCATTGTTCAAATAATTATGTGAAACCTGAAAACCATTATGAGCCAAGGGAGTAGTTAGAAAACAATTTTTGTTTGTGATGATTACGTTAACAATTATATTTTTTGATTTAAATAATTAAAACCCAATGTATTACACTTTTATAATTACCTATTTAATTTAATTTGTGTGATCAAAGTTGGAAGGGAACTAAGGTACGGATTTGGTTAGAACAATGTTTTAGGGTTAATAATAATTTTTATTTTGTTTTTATATTTGAAGAGCGTTAAACTCCAATTTTCCCCTAAGCTACAGTCTTGATTATTATATATTATTATGTTGATGCGTATGGTGATCAAATTCATACATTTTATAAGATAAAAAAAAAAGTTAATATACACATTGTAATTATAAGTCTTTTGTTCTGTAGGTGAAATTATGGTTGGAGATGTTGAAAATGAAATTTCCATCACATCAGGTAAAATAAAATAATATAGTTGTATGTACCTTCATATAATTTGTTCATATAGTGCTAATCTTTATAAAGGTTATTAAATATTAAAAATTACTATAACTTTTTTATGATTTAAATGTATTTAACTTTTAATATAACTGCTATTTAAGAATGTACATTTTTTTTCAGACAATGAAGAGGATTATTTCACACCGGAAGATAGAGATCCCGACATGCAGTATATGATAAATCTTGAGGCAAGAAGGCGACAATTGGAGTTAGAGCAAATACCTTATGTCAGAGTCCCGGATATTCTTCCGTCTTTAATAAATATAGATGAAAAGTGTATCGTTTGCAAAGATGCTGAAAAAACGCATGCTCTGATTCCATGTGGTCACAAAGTAGTCTGTGTAGAGTGTCTGGACCTTTTAGATCCCAAACGTTGCCCTTTGTGCAATTTAAATTTTATCAACTCCCTCAGAGTTTGGTGAAAATTTACTTAAATATTTTAATTGTATTGTGTACTTATTGTGTAACCACTTATGTAATATAATAGAATTGTACAATAAGAAATTGTATAAAAGGTATATTGAAGGAAAATTGTTGTATATTCATTTGTTAACCCTCTAAAAAACTAGAGATGAATATCAATCTAGTATATATTTTATTTTAAATAACTTTTATTGGATTATTGGGATATTTTGGAATTATAATACAAATAGGTACCTAGTTATAAAACCTAGTTCAAATAAAAATTCAAAATTTTACAACTATGAAAGAATATTATATTTACTACAGTTACAATTGTTAATTAAAATCTTCATTACATAGTAAAAATTGTTCATAATTTTTATCTTATATAAATTAATTCATTTTATGGAAAAGTTCATAAGATGATTAATTTAGGTCTAGTTGTTTAATTATGATTAGGTCAGTCCACACAAAATTATCCAAAGTATTTTCATGGTAATGTAATTTTTGTAAATTATAATATTTTTAACTCCACAATGCACTGTGTTTCATCTGGCCAAAAATCTAGAAAATGTAAATAAAACATCATATCATATAATACAGCTAATATTATGATGTTATTTTGAATTTTATCCTTTTCCCTAGGTTCATAGACAATAGAGATTGTTTCATGGGATTTATGAAAAAAGGCATATTTTTCTATGACATCATTGTCATCATTCACCGTACAAAAGATTATAAACAATGTGTCTATAAATGAATTAAATTTTGTCTTGACATTTTTCGATTTTCCATACAATTATTATTATGTGTATTTTTGTTAATTGATCACTGATATCAATATTTATTTTAACAGTTACTTTATTAGTTTGATTAAAAATATATATTAAAATAATATAAAAATTGAATTATATAAATAAAGTTATATTTATTATCTTCTTTTATTATTATTAATATTATTAACTTATCATTATCTAATTCTATATTATCTTGTCATTATTATTATCTATATTGTATTTTTCTTGTTATATAGGTAATTAAGTTACTTTTATGTTATTCAACTTGTGACACTTAGTTTAGTTTAAAGAAAATAACTGCATCCCATAGCAACCTAACCTTTTTTCTTATTTAGTTAGTTAATTTTCTAATTAATTAAAAAACTAATAATTCAATAATAATAATAATTATATTATTAACTCATATCCATTTAAAAATTATGAACTATAAATTAATAAATATCTTTCTATTATAATAGAAATATGTATGGGGTGTGGGGTACAACAAGGTATACAAATTGGTGAATACCTACTATTTTTTTTACAAGTATATTACAGTCCTATTTTTTTTTCCAATCTCAGCTTTGAATTTTTTAAATGCAATAACTTATGACATTTAAATTATGGCCAATAAGGCACAATCGGATTTTTGTCCAGGAGCGGTAAAAAGATTATTAGATAGAACTATTGTGGTAGTAAAATTACATAATAGACACGGAAGAAATATATAGATATAAATTACAGATAATTTTTGCAACATATTAAAGTGACGGGCTGCAGAGGAAAATACAATTTTGAAAAATATATACCTACGATGAAGTTGATTGTTGATTTTATTTTGTTTAGATATAATGTTTCTTTAAAATGTATTAAATATAATATTTATATATATACAGTTAATTGTCTTGCTATATTGGGTAGGTATTTAAATTATAATAATACATAATACCATTGATTATAAATACTATAGATTGCTCACTGGCCGGGTAAACACGTTGCGCGAAAAATGGATGTTGCCGTTATGAAGCGCTCTCGTCGAAGATTAGTTAGTGGATGTCGACGTTGTAATCGCTAGTGTCGACTGTCGAGTCTGTCGCGGTCGTACATCGGCCGTCGCCGCGGCCGTCGAGACTTGAGGTTTGCGAACATGCCGATTGCCGGGACATTGGGGTTTAGGAGTTTAGGACTGACCGGTGAATACCAATTAATATATTGTATCGTCGCATTATTGAATCATTCGATAATCATTCATCTTATTTTTAAGATGTTTTACATACTAGGTGTAAGGTTAATTTTAATGATAAATAAAATCATCGTACCAGAAAATAAATGGTATACGAAATTGTTACTACTATACATACTAGTATATTTTATACTACTTACAGTTTTCTATACGGTTTAACTGTTTAACTATTATAAGGTCCTATTACCGAACGCATTTCGATATTAACCGCACGTCAACAAACTAGTACCCTATTTTGTTTTTGAATTGTTTTAAACAATTCACATTTCATTAAACGTAAAAATGTAAAACGCTAAAATCGTACCTTCAGTGGGACTTTTTTTCGAGTTTAAAGACTCATTGTTAATGTCAATTTTAGATCAAATAACGCAAATAGTAAAAACCAACGTTGTTTTTATCTTACCCAGTTAACAAATTGTATGTATTTAAATTTCTTAAATTGGAAATTTTTATTTTAAAAAATGTAATTATAATGTACACTTTTTCATTATGGATGCCATAATTTGTATAATTTATTAAAAATTATTTAATTTTTCTTCCACATTATTTCAAGAATAGTCATTATAATATTATAGTTATTTATAAGTATTAATACTTTATAGTGTTTATAATTAATGACAGTACGGTAGTATTAATTTGTATTTTTATATTCCCATTTCTTCAATTGTATTATTAGTTATTAGTTATTACTTATTATTTGTTTATTAAAGCAAAACAGTAATATAAATACTGGAGTAGTAACTAGTTGTCAATGAGCCTTTATCGTGAACGTATTAGTTGCCATATTCGTTATTGAAATTGTTGGTACATTTTTATTTATGTTTTACTATTAAATTCATCATGTCTGGTCAAAAGTGTAATTATTTTAACTGTGGTAAATCAAAAAGAAATAACCCCGAATTAAGTTTTCATACGTTTCCAAGTGATGAACACTCAATGAAAACTTGGATTATTCATTCGGGTAAGTTATTCATTTATTATATTTATATTCTACATATTAAGCAATTTGCATTTACATTAACATTTGTTATTTAAAAATATCAACTATAAATTTTAACTTTTAAGTAGGTTAGGTTAGTACCTAAAACTAAATTTTAAAACATAATTTTTAATTTAGGAAATATGGCTTTAGACAATTTAAGCCCGAAAATACTACGCAAGAGGTATATCTGTAGTGATCACTTTGATCAAAATATGTTTATGAATGTTAATCAAAAAATACGAAAACTAATTCCGAATGCTACACCAATAAAATTTGCTATAAATAACTCCGGAAATTCAAATAAATGTAAGCTTAATTAATAATACTTTTAATTGTGTACTACCTTAAGAGGACGTTGCACCCACATATTATTATGTTGTCTACTTGTCTCCGTCTTACACGTGTACAACATAGCAAATTTTACTCTCAGCAGATCACGTTTAGCTAAATTAATTTAAAAATTAGAGTGAATTTACCTCTTCTAAAATTTAAAGATAAGATAATTTTCTAGGGCATCTCATCGGATTTTTGTTTTATTTTAATTTTAAACCGAGTTATAAGTATTTAAAGGTGTACAAACAATTTACAGTTTTAAAATAATCATAACTAGCTTTAAAATTAAAATATAACAAAAATCCGATGAGATGCCCTAGAAAATTATCTTACCTTTCAATTTTATAAGAGGTAAATTTACTCTAATTTTTAAATTAACGGAGCTAAACGTGAGCTGCTGAGAGTAAAATTTGCTATGTTGTACGAGTGTAAGACGAAGATGAGTAGACAACATAATATACGGGTGCGACGTCCTCTTAATGGTTTGTAACTTAAAATAATTGAAAACATGTTTTAAAAAGGTTCTCCAAAATGTGAAAATTCTGAAAACACAAACTTTGAAACACCGGTTAAACGAATGAAGCCGACCGAAATCAAAGGACGCGTACTGGATTTCGATTCATCAGGTACCTATATATTATCCATTTATGCTTCAAAATAATTAACAAATGTTCTTGATTGATGAATTAATTTGCCAAAATTTTAACTTTAAATGCTTATAAAAAAATATCGCATACCTATAGAATATATTCGAATCTTAAATATTTTATAACTGATTTTATAAAAATTTTAAATAACTGTTTATATTACCATTTTTTGTGTACACCAAGTTACATTTTTTTACTATTTTAGATCCTGAACAGAGTGATGAATGTATTGACTTTACAATGATGTGTGTTTTTTATTTTTTTGTTTAATTATATATTTTTTTTATTTTTGTATCTGTCATCACGTTTTTGAGTAGTAAAAGTTCTTCAATCTTAAAAATATAGGTAGCAAAGTGAATTTATACTGTACTTCAAGGGGTCAAAATTGAAAATTTTTCAGTAGTTTACAAATGCGCCGCGAAAAACCAAAAAAAAAAAAATCAGGAACTCACTCTGTTGTACAGTAGGGGTGGAGTGGACCTCGGTCATAGAGTCACTATAATGGATATGTTAAATTTGAAAGCAATGATAGGTATCATTGTGTACGAAAAACGATTCTCAACGGATACGATTGTCAGTCTAGGATATTTTGTTTATTTATTTATTTTATATCTTAAACCGTTTGATAGAAAAGCGTTCGTGAATTTTTAAATTTTTTAATTTAGACGCTCGTAAATTTTTTTTAAGACACTTACGTTTGATTTTTTTATAATTTTTGTGAGAAAAACTTATGTATAACTTTGTATTAAATCAATTCTCAGGTATGAATACCTACAAATTTATGAATTTTCAACAACAAAATAACTTCAATTTTTTCACGATTTTATTATATTTAGTAAAAATTTGGACTTTCAAATGCTTATAAAAAAAATTATGGCTATGTATTTTGAAAACTTTTAAAACACCTATGGATTAACTTATGTTCAACCCTCTATTAAATTGTCAAGTATTTTGGCTCAGCCGAAAAATTTTTATCGACATTTATAAAAAAAAATCGAATATTTCAAATGCCTTTAAATAACTGAAAAATAAACTAAAT